TTTAAGCGTGTGTGTGGGTGTGCCTGTGTGTGTGTATTATCGTATCTGTTCATGTAAGAAAAACTGAAAAATATGTGAGGGGAACAGATTGTATTGTCATTGTAAACTAATGTACACTTGTCTCTCAATAAAAATATGAAAAAAAAAAAAATTATCAGCTACGAGCCCTGGACTGAAAATGACTGACAAAAGCAGCCAATGTTCAAAGAAAACCTTTGAAAGACTTCTGAAAAACCTGGGGAACTACTGCTCAACAACACCTTTAAAAAATTATGAAAGGAGCTGGTGATCATTCTGGTGTTATAGTGAATAGAGAAATTGGGGGGAGGATTTAAACAGATGATCCACCTGACAATTAAAAGGTATGGCATTGCAGTCCCCTTTGAGAACTTACCTTTGTCCCCCAAGTTTCTGAAGAGATCATTACCAGCACGAGCTTTAGAGGCAGCCACCAGCATACCGTTCACATCCTGCCGGGATAAAACAAACCATTAGCCTAAAGAAAAGTCTGCATGTGCAGGTTACACACTGCTAGGAAGTTAATGTACCTGCTTGGTTAAATTTTTCTTTTTCAGCTTTCCTGCAAAAACCAGAGAAGATGTGTTGATAACAGAACAGCACAAAATTATTCAATAACAGGCACGAGGCAAGCCGCACACGTGAAGTTGTTCCATGCACACAACAAACTACTCTGTTTTGCTTTGTGGGAACATGGAGGTTCCTCTTCCCAGTCAGAACTGCACTCAGTCTTCTCATACTGCTGCACGGCCACACTGATGTGAAATGTTTGGGAGGTCTGTCTGGGTTTGGTTACATACAGATGGTCTAGTCCAGTCTTACTGACACATGAAAGCACTGTACACCATAGGCCACATTCACCCATCCCCACACACACACTGCATTTTTTTTTTTATCAGTTAAACACACTAAACATGAGCAGTTTAAGTTTCACTATATTTGCATTAGAAAGATTCACTATGAGGAATAAAGGAGCTGGGGATCCAACCACAGACGGTCCAGTTTCTGGTATCTGACTTGTGGTGATACTCAATAAGGCTCCAAAATAAGGGCACTGTTCTTTGACATACATGATACATAGTGGGGATGAAAAAGTATTTAGCAAAGGGAAATCTACCATTTGACCTGGCAAATTACATCCTATATATATTTAGTTAAGAACAGGGATGTAGATTATGGAAGGCTTTGAGCTGTTTGACATGTTGTACGCTGTATGAGCTGCTTACGATCAACTTTCTCCAGCATCACAGAGAACAGGAAGTCTCTGGGGGTCATGTAGGGCTCCTCTTCATGGACGACTGAGGCAAACTGGATGAAGCGGATTTTCCTTGCAGACATCTGGGGAGCTGCATCTTCCTGCAACAGCACAAGGAGCACAAACACCAATGTAAGCTACAGAACACATGTTCGACAGCAGCTCCCTTTATATGTTTAATGATTAAATGGACAAATGAGTGGTTAGTTAAAAATTTATTTTATTAAATTATATCTAATAAGTCAGACGAACAGATTCACTGTGTACAAAGTACACAGTACAAACAGTTTCAGTGAGCACCGCTAGGGGGCACTAATTGACACTATGAATTTGGACGGTCTTTTTGTAGATATCCAACTAACATTATTGTGTCGCTTGTACTTGTAATTACGAAACATCGTACTTTAAATGAACACAGACAGGCATATGAGCGGTACTGTCCGTTTGCGGTGAATTTTGACGACAGAAACTTTCTGAAGTGTTCACTTACTTTTTCTTCCTTAGCATAAACGGCGAAGGGCAGAGTCCTGTTGTTTACATGATACCCGTAATAACAGACAACCCCGGTGCCAATTACAGAGGCCACAATGCCGCGACCGACAGTACGGTACTGTGCGAAGGTTTTCAGAGATCGAGGGCTCCTCAAGACACCCCTCAGGAGAGCGGTAACTTTCCCCCAGCTGGCCATTTCCAGGAAGCTAACTCGCTAGCTGGCTAAACTGCGTTCGTCTTAGCAAAGCGAGGCCACGCCCCCTCCCCAGCCGTGATAGGTA